CTTTTGGCGAAAAAATCTAGGAATGATTTTATGTGTTGTGAAGAGGTCCCAGAACCCATTGTGAATCTGGTGAACTATGATGTTTCCCATATGTTTGATTAATGTGATCTTCGCTTGTTTCAAAAAAAAAAAAGGACTTTTCTATGCCATATCTTATTAATTTCGTAATTAAATATATATTTTAAACATCATAACATGATATATATATATATATTTTTTGGTTCCACCAATATTAAATAAACATATGGAAAAAAACATAACCAAATAATCACATAATAATAAAACTAAAACTAAAACTAAAAATAAAATCTATAGTCACGTTACACCGAATTTAATTTGTTAATTCCAATGAATCCAAGCACAATGATTACGAAAAATTTGAGAATATGAGAATACTCAATAGGACACGAATATTTTGTGCAATCCCAAATAAAAATCTTAAATCATGTGTGAAAAATATCATACCGACGTATCATATCTTTAAAAACCAGTAAGAGCTCTATAAATATCATATCTTGGGTGCCGGATTGCCATAACATACTATCATAACTTTACTTTCATTAGCACAATATTTATCAACATGAAGAAATAAATTAAACGGGACAAACCATTTGCACTTCTTAATCCTACCTCGCTTGATCAATCAAATTTTGAAAAAAAGAGAAAGCATGTTTCCAATTTTTATTTTCTGCCTACTACTGCAGTCGTGTGCGTATGCATATTCTGATACGAGAATAAAGAGGTAAATGCATAGTATAAAAGGACAATTGAATTTTTGGTAGAATAGAGTTACATAGAGCCGTGTACCACCAAGCAAAGGTCACTATCAAGAATATTCTACTTCATCATTATCTCANTCTCATCCACCGAAAAAAAAAAAAACTGCCATGCCTCTATCTCACTCTACAAGTGGCTTCTACACATTTCAAACCCAATATTTAATTTATCAAAACCAATTAATAACACTTTCTTTAAACTTCAATAATTTGCATCTCGTAATCCTACCTCGCTTGATCAATCAAATTTTGAAAGAAAGAGAAAGCACGTTTCCAATTTTTATTTTCTACCTACTACTGCTGTCGTGTGCATGTGTCTATTCTGATATGAGAATGAAGAGGTAAATGCATAGTATTTAAGTTAAAAGAACAATTGAATTTTTGGTAGAGTAGAGTTACATAGAGCCGTGTATCACCATGCAAAGGTCACTATCAAGAATATTCTACTTTATCATTATCTCATCCAACAAAAAAAAAAACCACCTTACCTCTCTCTCACTCTACACGTGGCTCCTACACATTTCAAACCCAATATTTAATTTATCATTTGGTTAATTATTGTGAAAGAAATCACTTCAATAACTTAAGCTTCGCTTATCCAAATTAACCAATATACTATACTGCTATTGAACGATTCAAAGGACATTGAGCCTCTGTTATTGGTAGCAGTTTCTATCATCTTCCTTGCTATGATACCATGAAGATGAAACTAGGAAAATATATTCTTTATTTTTCCACGTTAATAATGTACAATAAGAGGGTCCTATTTATAGTACAAGAAAGATAAAAATAAAAGGAAAACAAATCTCCTACAATCTCTAATTTATCATAATATCCTATCTATGGTGAATGGAATCCTCAACAATCTTCCCTCAATCAATTCGGGATTTCAACACAATGTATGGTCGAATTTTCTCTCTTTTTTTTTCCTTTCTTTTTGTTTTTACCTGAACTTCATTCCAACACATAATTTGGAGTCACAAATTGTGTCTTTACTTTTCATGGTGGATTATTTAGTTTCGTTTAATATAATATGCATTATTGTCCTTTTTGGGCTAACATTTTATTTATGATATTCTAATGGTTTGAGAGCTGCATGTCCAATTTTATGCAATGCATTGAATGATTATGTTTTCTATGGTCTTCTTTAAAACTCTGCATATGGTGATTGGATGCATGAACAAAATTATTTCTGTACTTTCAGGAGTGACATGTAGTATGCTTTTTAACACGAGTCTAAGTCAATTTTCCGTTTCTTTGGAAGGTAAGGGCTGCATCAATTACCTGTTTCGCAGGAATGACTTCTTCAGTCTTCTTTTCTCTGCCAAAAGACAAACAGGATTTTTCTATCAAATCTTCTGTAAGTTTGGTACCAAACCGTTGCATGTTGTTTCTTCCATAAAGTGATAATGCGAAAGCCATTTGATTTATCATATACTGGTTCTTGTAGATTGATGCTGCTCTAAGCGACGTTCCTTCAGTTAGATCAGCTGCTTGTCGTGCCATTGGTGTTATTGCATGTTTTCCACAAATATTTCATAGGTAACTTACCATTGCTATATCTTGAG